ATGCATGGTATAACATTGTTACCTATGATAAGTGAAAAGGGCATTATCAGCTGGTAGAAAAGGCTTTTGCTGCACTGTGGCTCCAAAATCTGAATTCTTTTGTTGACTTTACCTGTTATTTTCAGACAAATCTAACACCGAATTCAGTGCAGAGTGTATAACATCATGTCTGCAGCAGAGAGAGGCTTGTAAACGGAGTTCTCCCCTTTCAGCTAGCTTAAACCTAGCTGGAAGCCTGCTAAGATATCCTGCTGACAGTGCTGCACTGTATGGGAACAGCAGCTCACTGGCTGAAAGAATTATGGCTTTGCTAGCATAGGACTGGCTGTCTTAGCTGTTGTGCTCTAAGGACAAAACTGTTCTACTTACTTGGCTCCATCCCAGCGACTTTTGCACAGTAACCCACTCTTCAGCACTTATTTTCTCTCAAAGTAAAGGTAAACTTAGGGGCACAAAGTCACAGCCCGCGCCTTGATCTAGCAATCAGGCAGTGCCACTTGTGCTCCTGTTGAGGTAGTGGTTCACGTGGGTATGTGTGTTTCCTATGCAGTGAGTTTACGTGAGGCACATGCATGTGAGTTCTGATGTATCTAGACTGCTTCTGCTAGAAAGAAAGATAACCTTCTTTCACTCCACACAGTGAGTTAAAGTAGCTTTCAGATTTTAATTTTTTTTTATCCCACCATTATGGGGGGGGGGGGGGGGGGGCCTGGTTCTAGTGTTTGTTGTGGTTTTATTTTCTAATTTCAGAGACTGTACTGCCAGCATCTCCAGTAGGCACGGTAATTTAAGTATTGTAGGTATAATTATAGTCTAACTAAATCTATATGGCAACAAACATGAATTAATATCTGAAAATGCATCAGACAGAAAAAGCTAAATGAAATTGAGGGAGGGAGGCTTCTTCTTCATGCCGCCCTAAGAGATTTTTTGTTAGCTCTATATGCCTTCAAGATTTAGCAAATGTATGCTCAAGAAAGGAAGTATTCTGTCATAAATTTATTTCTATTCTTTCTGCACTTGGGTGAGATATTCAAATCAATCTACCCCATAGCAGATAAATAGAACGGCATTTATCTGTGCCTTGGGTTGTATGTATATAATCCTACCCCTTTTTAAAATTCTTTTTTTAAAAATTATTTTAAAGAAAACATGTAGTCCATAGACTATTGCACAGTATATCTGCAGAGTGTAATTTAATGTGCCCTTCTGTGAACTTTCATGCAGAAAATGTCAGTTACTTACATACCTCAACCATACAAGGTGTTGCCCTAACAATTCCATTTTCAAAAGGTTAGTGTGGGGGTTTTTTTGATAATGTGTAAATTATTAAGATAGCTTATTTGAAAGGTGGTGAAGGAGGTGAAAAGCCTGTGAGATGGAGAACTAAGATTTTTTAAAACTTTTTTCTTTTAAAATTCAGAGTACTTTTTAATAATGTAGTATCAGTGTCATGAGATAATTGAACAGTATCTTACCTATTAAAAACAAAACGCTCCTAACAGTAATATGAATTGCATGCTAAATCTATTCAATATAAGCCATCTATATAGTAACTATTCTTTTGCAGTTCTGCACATTTCATTTAATGTTTGGGGCCTTTTTTTTTTGCTATTATTGGTAGTACTTTATGTAAATCCAATTTAATTGATGCAGAAGCTTGTTTTCTTTTAAAGATTTTCTTGCTTCCTGTTTCTCTCTATTTCTCCATAAAGTCAGCAGCTTCTCTAAAGGCACCAACAGGGGAGATTACAGAATCTTCTTTTCACTGGCCATGAATTATGCCATTTAACTTTGAAGTAATCAAACTAGCATTGCCCATGTTCAGGAGATTAGATTGGAAAAATACTTCAAATAAGATAATCAGGGTGCTTTGTGATTGTTATTAATAATGTGAGAAGCGAAGTGACACTGGATTCTAAACTGCATAGAACAGATATTTTTCTCCTATCTTTTTCTGTAAAAAGTAGATTTTTTTTTCGCATGCCACTTATACAAACCCATAGTCTAGGGTTGTATTTACTGCAATTGTACTTGGATTTCACCTTGCATATTTCAGTGGGCACATATACTTCTGGTGCTGTGTTTTTTTTGAGATGGGGGTGGCAACAAAGGGGGTTTTTTTTCTCCTCCAAGTTGAGGATTGCCATACAGCTGTGAGACACCTTTAATTAAGTTGGACAAAGCTACATCAGATGGGCTGGTATCTGAGTGTGCTGTGAAGACAGCTGAGCTGTCGGTGCTGTAGTTTAATTAGAACTTTTAATATTTCATCCCTTACAACCCGAAGTGTGACCTGTCAAGCTGCTGAGAGGTTGCCCCTTCTTGACAGAGGTGCAGCTCTGAGCCCAGGACTGAGACGCACTTATATCCAATTCGTGTACAGTCACTTGGTGTTTCTGTTGTGTTTTCCTTCTTGATGTGTCTGCTGTGTGCAAGAGCAGGAAATCACAGATCTGTTAAAGGATATTTGGACTTGTATAATAGCTCATCACAAGCCAACCTTCATCTCCTGACCCTAATCTTTCAAGAGTGGTTAGAGAGCATCTAGCAGTTTTCCTCCCTGTAAGACTTGATTTATTAGTCAAGATTTAGAGGCAAAAGAGGCAGCTGGATATAGAACAGAGAGGCGAATTAGGGAATAGTTACGCAAGCTAGGTTGAGCTGACTTAATGTCTTTCCATGGCTAAACAGCAAAAGTCCTCTTCCTCCTGTCACATTTCTCCCTTCCCCAACTCCCCATTCTTCCTCCCATTGTCCCTAGAAGGTCCTGCAAAAGGTGGCAAGGAAGGAAGGACTGGGGTGGGAAAGGCAGATGGCAGTTGATGTGAATTCTCTGTAAAATACTCATTGTGCCTGGGACTGCTTTGTGTTGTCCTCCGCAGTTCCTTCTAGGGAGTGAGTATCATTAGAGTGTTAATTGCCCCATGCAAATACCCACTGAAATTGAGAGAGAAACACGTAGGACTAGTAGTTTTTCACATCTAGAATTTGCTATTAAGTATGTAAGCAGCATTCAACTTGTATTTGACAACTGGCTCCCCTCTTGGTGTTGATCGGAGCTGTGCATACCCTGCAGCTGGTGCACTGAACCGGAGCTACATTGCTCTTGTTTGATACAGTTCCCAGGGGACATGAAAATATTTCATACACAAAGCTGCTTGATCTCTAGCTCTATGTTTTTTGACACTGCCTTACTCTAGTCCAATTTCTTGGCATTAACAGAATACGTTTCTATGTTAAAGACCACCTGCATAAGTCAAAAGCCTTGTGTTGGTAGATCACAAGCCAAAGAAGCCAAAGTGCCCTTTTTTTTCTGTAATAAAGTTTCCTAACCTATAAATCTACAAATCATGATATGGAATCATGGAATGAAGCTCTTCAGTCGTTTCTCAGGGGAGGATAACCCTCTTGGAAAGCAAGGGTTGTGAATATATATTATAAAATCAACTGATTATTATCAGAAGAAATAAAATTTTTCAGATGGAGAGCAAAATCATTGTCCATAAGTAAAGAAGTAGATAAAATCTAAGTGTTTTTATTTATCTTTAGAAAAGTTTATCAGCCTTACTTATTTTGCCTTTACAAAGTCCATTAGGAAGTATATAAATAATGATTTTTCTGTCAGAATTCTACTAATTGCACTCCTCTGGGTATATAGTGTTTGCACTTTATCTGTCCTAAACCATTTTGCTATCAATGCACAGGGACACTAGTGATCCGCTATAATTTATAGCAGTGAGAGCTGAAATAATCTCTGCCCTATGTTTCTCACGTTGTAATGTGGTTTGTATGACAGTTAAACCAAGAAACCACAGCTGAGAAGCAGGACCCATTCTTAAACACACATGCAGTATGAGATGCAACTTCAGCAAAACATCCTGAAGGAATTACAAACAAAGAATGTATTGGAATAATACTGGTTATAAGTAAACCTCTCAGTTCAAGCTGATATTGATCAAGGAATGAAGGAAAATGATTTTTGAAATTAGTTATAAGAGTTGAACCAGTTAATTAAAAACAAATTTCTGCCTACACGTTGTGATCATAAATAAAACATCTCTAGAAATAAATTATAGTAAATGTAATACTAATTAATGAGTTTGTTATTTCATGTGCTGGAGGGAGACTTAAAAAACTTATGGGGAATTTAGAATTTGTCCTTAAAACTAAATTACATCATCAAAAAGACAAAAAAAGAATAGTCAATGAAAACAATGTAAGTCTTGCAATGCTAGATTACCATCTGGTGCATCCTTGAAAATATGAAACTGAAAATAGAAAACTCTAGTTCTGGCTCACCTTTCTGCCTTTTTTCCCAGCACTTTTTCAATGAAAATCTGGTTTTTTTGCTTGTCTGAAACACTTTTAACTTTTTTTGGTTTAATTTGCTGAGTTTTACCTGAAAATAATAAACCAATTAAAAGCCAATTTAAAGGCTAGTTTTTTACATCTCTTTATTCTATCATAGAATATATTAATTAGAGGTTTAATTTAGTGGTAAAAGAAAAAGATTTCATTTAAAATAGAGCAAGATGTTTGATATATAGAAAAGAATTATTTTACTTTCTTGGTGTTCTTCTAAAAATTGCATTTTTTTATTTACTTGTTAAGTTTTGGTGGGTAGCCTGAAAAAAACTCACTTATTCTCACAAGTCTAGTAAAAAAAAGAGGAAAAAGTGGCTTTACTAAATATTCTTTGTCTGACTGAATACAAATACTGCATACATAATTAATATCAAATTTGAGTTGTATCATTCTTTCTTTAATCTCTTTCTCTTGCTTTTTAATAATTTAATAAACTGTTTTACAAAATTTGTACTGAAGTGATAGTTCCTCTTTAAAGCAAACTTACCAGTTTGCAATCTACATATGCATTACAGATTCTGATTATTGCTTTCCTGGTTTTTAAAACACTAAGGGTTATGCTTCTCATTCCTGAATAACAATTACCATTACAAAGCAATAATAACCCTTTTTTTCCACCTCCTACTCTCTAGAGCTACAACTATAATGATCCTGTCAGGTACTACATGGTGCAAAAACCCAAAGAAAGAGCATCTCCTTTGGACCACGCCTCAGCATCCCGTCAACACCCCGCTCAAAATCTCCGTGGTAGAACCCTCAGCCAGCCTCAGCCAGACAAGTTCTTGCCAGAGTCAGAAATGGGGCTTGACCAAAAGACTCTGATGGCCGCGCTGCACACGTACATCACTCAGAACCTGTCAGCACAAAGCAATGATAAAAGCTCTCACAGCAGGCCTAAGGAGTCTCACGTTTCTGCTGGTAGATTCTACTCTTCGCAAGTCGATCCTTTTGGTGGAACTTTCACTGAAGAAAAAGTGGGAGGCTTTAAAATGAAGAAGCCGTTCCAGCCAAGACCTGTATCTGGAGTGCTGGGTCCAACCCCTGGGATGCAGAATCATAAATCTGCTTCCCAGGATGATCCAAAGGACCCTCTAACTGTAGTGGATGGTAAGGCTGATCCTTACTTATTTTAACTTACCTGAAGTTTCCCTCATGTTCACTGAACATTCTTGAAAAAAAAGAAAAAGAAGTTTAGACGTTCTGGTATATCTCCTACTATTGGCATATTTATATATCTACCGTAATACTCACAGTAATAATATTCAGCGTTCTAATTCTTTCCCTGCAAACATCTACCCACATTCTTCAACCCACCTTCCATATGCATGCAGAAATATATGGCACTCAGAAAGACGTAGCATTTATGTAACGTGTTATGTTTTCAAAGTATTTTACAAACAACGTGTAATTATGGGTATATCTTCGCTCTCAAATCTGTTTTTATATGTGCATCCTACACTATATATAGGTAATATAGAAAAGCCTGGTTCTGTTCCATTTCTCTGAATTTAATTAGAAATGCAAGGATCACGGGTAAAATTCAGAGTTAGACACAGAAATTAACACTGACAGATTAACACTGAAATATTGGCAAAGAACACAAAGAAAGAATGAGTCTGCAAATTATGTGGATAGGTGGACACAGAATAATCCAAGAATGTAGGGTTACATATAGTTGTGGCTGGATGTTCTGTAATGAACCACCCATTTGCTGGATTTTAATCTGGTTTTGCTAATGCTGTTTAACAATGACAAGATCCTGATTTCTTTTGTATGTGATAGTTTGACAAATGCTTAAATGAAGATGAAGTTTAGCATCGCATGGGATGCAATGATACACTTTAAACTCTGGTTTGCAAGACAAGATGGATCTTTGTGTCATGGCTAGGGATCAGGCAGAGTTTGGAAAATAGCTCTTATTCATCCGTCCCCCTGAGTTCCCTGATCTAGTTGAGAGGCATCCCTGCCCATGACAGGGAGGTTGGATTAAATGATCTCTAAGGTCCCTTCCAGCCTAGGCCATTCTATGATTCTATGATTCAATTTGTTATTTCTTAACTGACTATTGGTGTTATTCCAGTGGTAGAGAAGGCCTGAAAAATGAAAGAATTGATCCAAGCAGTTACATCTCTTGCACTGTAGTCACCACTATTCCAATGGATATTGGTAGGATATTGGTAGCATGTAAGCATGTTCCTTGGAATACCTTCTTTAGTTGTTACCATCCAGAAAGCTTAACATTTTTTGATTTATTTTGTGGTTTGTTTTGTTGTGGTTTTGCTTTTTTTTTAAAAAAGAGGAACAGAGAAATGTCAAAGTTGCAGCAGAGGAAAGATAATGCTTGCAATCTAAAGGATGCTCAGAAGTGAAAGCATTCTTGGTATGGTGCCCAGAGATAATAGGTTTCAAGGAACAAACTATGATGTAAAATCAAATCCAGGTGGCACTGTAAGTCTCTTGCACAGGTTAGACAATTTTGTTGCTAGACTCAAAACAAACTAGGCACATGCTGGTTTCATTATGCTCCAGCTGTTCCACTTCACCTTTCCTGGTAGGAGCCAACTGGGAGAAAAATGCTTAACACTTAGAGGGAATAACATGTTTCACAATTCATTGGGTTGTACTACTTTGACTTCACATACATAATGTGCCCTGTAGGAACTTCTTCCATTGCATTAGCTTCTAAATATTGTAGAGGCACAAAATTATGAATTGAATAAGAAATAATGTGGTTTCCTTTGTATTCTTGAGCCACTCAATAGTCTCATAAGAAAGTGGTGAGGATAGACCTCACTGTACTAATTTTTTAAAATGCTCTTCATTGGAATGGTGAAGATTTGGATTTGTATTTGCCAGGCTGACTGCACCGTCTTCACACTTTCAACCTTTCTGCAGTCTCTCTGGATCTTAAGGAATTTTGTATGCTTGCAGGTCAAGTTGTTTCTCTCTCGCAATCTAAATCACAGAATTGTTCAAAACCTGGAAAGTACAGGGCACGGTCACACCAGCTCAGTTCTCTGCTGCAGCTGATACAGGATTAGACAAAGGAACTTGACTGGGAGAACAATCCAGAAGCTACTGAGCAGATTAGCACTGAGAACTGCTGCAAAACAGTGGCAAGTAAACTAGGTAACAAGGCACCCTGAGGAAGAAATACAAGAGAAGGATATGTGGAGCTATTTTTCTATCAGGTTTAGAAACTGTTACCTCCAGGAGCAGTGTGATGTGTGGGGGTACTGCCTTTCTAGTCACTGTGTGTCACGGTTTAACTCAGCAGGCAGTTAAACACAACCCAGCCACTCACTCACCCTCCCCTTCACCAGTGAGAGGGGTTGAGAATTGGGAAATAAAAAAAGTAAAATTCATGGGTTGAGGTAAAGAGAGTTTAACAGGAAGGAAGAGGAAGGGGAAAAAAATAATGTTCAAAGAATTGGAATATACAAGTGATGCACAATGCAGTTGCTCACCACCTGCTGACCGATTCCAGAGCAGCAGCCCTGGCCAACTTTCACCTAGTTTACCTGCTAAGTATGATCTTAGGTGGTGTGTGATATTGCTTTAGTCAGTTGGGGTCAGCTGTCCTGGCTGTGTCCCCTCCCAGCTTCTTGTGCTCCCCCAGCCTCCTCACTGGTGGGGTGGTGTCAGGAGTCCTTGACTTAGTATAAACACTGCTCAGCAGCAACTAAACCCTTAGTGTGCTACTACTGTTATTCTCATCCTAAATCCAAAGTGCAGCAACTGTACCAGCTACTAGGAAGAAAATAGACTATCCCAGCTGAAACCAGGACACTGTGCAATAATGGAATCATTAATCTGTCTTCTGCACAAGTCATATTTAGAATTTGCCTCAGTTTTAAGTGATTTTTTCTAGGGCACTCATTTCTGGTATATTAAATAATGTAGAATACATCTCCCCATTGCTTTAGAAAGGTCACAAAATTAGTAATACAGATGTCTTTTTTTCAAAAAAAAATGTCAAACTTCCATGTTTATAGAGCTGAGATATTTTTGTACATACTCTGTCTTATGAAGCTATGGTCACCAGTCTGTATTTTGCCCAGCTGCCGAGGTTAGCTAATATGTGGTCAGTAGAAGAAGACACGTGGGGTAGAAGAAGATAGATCACCCTGTGGGACTGCCAGCAAAGTTGCTGCTGCCACACCATTTGGTCAGCAGGCAAGTTGGCTTTGGCAGTTCTGTCAGTGGAGTACGGAACATGATTTATATGCTGTACAATAAAAAGTTACTTTTCCTTGGTAAGCTGCTGTTGTTACCTACTAGGGGAATTGCATTGATAAAGCCGATATTAAAAATTACGTCACCTAAGATACAGGTGCCTTGACTGTGGCATCACGGTTCCAAGGCAACAGTGAAAGACAACTTGCTTTCTTCAGTTTGGAAGCTGGAGCTGAGTGAGAGATCTGTTTTCAGTACAACCCCTGTGAAACATGGCTGAGCATTGCTGATTCTATTTAGAAGGGATCATCAGGACATTATAAGGGCTGTGCACAGGTACGTGTGTGTTCAAGTACACACGCTGCTTAAGTGATGTGCCACTGCAGTACCTATCTGCTTTTTGATCTTTCTCCAACAATATTTTATGATTTTTAATAAATTCATCATAATTTCCTTAAATTACACAAAGGCATTTGTAAATAGATGCACTGATATTTATTTGTGCATCATCCTTATTCAATAATACGCAAATGACATACAAACAGCAAGTGCCACGGCAAGAAGTGGAAGCATCAACATGTAACATGAATGTGCATTAGCGTCATTATCAGTAAGCTCACGAAGTTAGCAACACTCTTTAGGTAGACTTCCATGTCATCAGTCTGTTATGGATGTTTTGGTGACTGTTCCTCCTAGCATATGGAAAACATGATGTTCCTTATACTTACTAGCTTTGGTTATTGCCTTTGGTCCTTGACATTTTGAGCCAAGCTTGTAGTTCAGTAAAGGTAGCATATAATGCCTCAGTTTTAGTAGTTTGGCAGAAGTATTTAGGAGTTCATTTGATGAGCTATGCCCAGGTGGCATTGCCCAGGGTAGGAAGAGCAGCATCAGAGGAGCAGGAGCTTCCTCTGTAACAGATTTATTTAATGAAGCAGAAGGACCTACAGTGAGTCTGTGAGTATTATCTGGAGTAGGGCCTGTGGCCCTACTTTCTCGTGTGATTCCCCACCCTGTTCACCCATTTCCATTTTGTTTGAATTTGACACTGCTTTGTTATTGACTATGCACCTGTGGAAGTAATCTGGAGAGATAAGACTTGGCTAAAATAACAAGTACGGAGAAAAGTTAGTTTGGAAAAAAGTGGAAATGATGAAGCGGTATTTGTTGTGTGTTGTTGAGTACCTCAGTAGTTGATCTTGACAGCTAGCTGTGAAACAACCAAAGTAAACAAAGATCTCCTAATGCTACATTAATATAGCTCTGTTAATTATATATGTACTGAAATATAATTATGTCTTATAATATGTCTTCGAATATTGGTGTTTTAGTTGAAAACTTTAAAGTTTTTTTTTTGGAACTAATGTATAGTCTATCTTTTCTTTGCGGACTTTATTAGCTCTGCCTCAATAATTTAGGTTTTTCTGTCAGGTTATTGTCTGATAGTTCCTAACCAGACACAAGACCTCTGCAGAAATCTGGAAGTGCTGGTATTTCCTACATTTTAATTTCCTGCATTGCTGCTACATGTACCACCTCCAAATGGCCATCTTCCAGGTAGCTGTCGTGCTTCTTGCAAAAGTTTCTTGAGCTCAGTTTGATCAAGTCTAGTGAAAACTTTTATTACAGTTTGATTTCATTTGCTTTTGTAGATTGCCTTGCTGAAGAAAAGCACTTGGCCATTATGTTTTTACTGTATTATTAGATTCATGTCAGAGGATGGATGCAATACAATGAAATGAGGTGTTCTTCAGCTTCCATCAAACTTGAGTCCCAATTTTGCTGCCTCCAAATATCTTGGCCTAGAGAGTTTGACATATATCGTGAGATTAAGTCTTTGACTCTTTGTTACTGAACACTTTCTTTGCTGTACAAAGCACTCTACTCTTTCTGTATGGTACTATAATCTTTGTTGTCCTCTTTTTTATTGATAGTCGCTCTTAAATGTGTTTAAAACTACACTTTTCAAAGTAAATTTCAAAAGTTCATAGCATACAACCTCAGCTGAATTTTATAATGAAATTAGTATAGTTTTGTAATGTAATTCTAATGGATTATTGGAAAGACATATCCTTTTAGCCTGGAAAAGTACACGAAGGAACCACCTTCTGTGTCAAAACCCTCTTTGAGTCCCAATAAACTTACTATTTAAGCTGCTTAAGTTATCTTGGTTTATATGGACTGATTAGTTTAGGGAAAATAAGATTAGTTTAGTTGGTGAAGTATGGGTCAGTCAGGTCAGAAAAACTAATCTCTACCTTTAGATGGCACTGAGAAGCAGAGGATCTTTAACTACTTTTTCCTCTTTCCTAGTCTATAACTACTTCTTCCTGCTTTGTGAAAAACAAAACCTCCTCTTTAGTCCTTTTTCTTGTAGTGTTTTCCTCTCTGCACACCTACTTTTTTAATTCATTTTTATGTAAGCCTGAAACCTGACAGCATAGTCCCAAAGTCTTGTTTGCAGATGATGATGATGATGAACATGGCCAACCACAGGGCTTAACAGAGAGAACATTACTATAAAGAAAAAGTTAGATATTGCCTTCAAACTGCTTATATATAAATTCATAAATTCAACAGGTTTAAAAGCAGTCCTTATATTCCTTTTTTTTTTTACACAATACACAGTACGCACGTGTAGGAGATTTCTTGCTTTCGTGCAAGAATGCGTGCTAAATTCCTGATCAGCGTGAATAAGGAGAACAGGGACTTGACTCAAAGTGGTTTTGGTATGCCAGAGTAAGCCCTGCATTCATACTTGAAGGAACATTAGGCTGAGTTTTGCAGAGTTGTGTAGAGTGGTGCTGAAGTGTATGTGCAATATATACAGTCAGAAAAGTACCTTCCCTGAAGAGCTGTTATGCTTTAACAGCTGTTGTCTTTTAACTCACCTTTAATATCCATTGTCTTTGAATTTCCTCATTTTTGAAACTTTTTTCTGCCCCCCCCCCCGAAATAACGTAGGTAACAGTAAAGTTCACTTTTGACAAAATGTATATTTTCCAAGAGAGATCAATGCTGTTTAGAAGATTTGTCCATTATATATCTGTGTATGTAATGGACATATATCTATACAATAATATCTATATAATAATTCAACTTTTTGATTGAAAGACAAAATATCTGTCTTGCTTGGTTTTTTTTTCCCCCAGAATTCTGTTAGCTATTTCCCTTGAAAAAAACAGTGCATCAGAGAAACCTGATCTCTAAAAAACAGTAGTGTTGTTGCACTATCTTAGTGCAGCTAAAATAAAGTTAAGCTACCTTAACACTTGGCTTCAGTATTTTGAGTCAGTTTAGAGTAGGAAACAATGCTCTTCTTGTAAAGAAGAAATGACAATTTTATACCCCTCTCTCTAGGACAACGTTCTGGGTTGTAGTGGCATACATTCCCCTGGTGCCTGACATAGGTTCACTTTGTCACGAACTCTAACATCTATTTACAACATCATGTTTTCTGTAAAGATGGCAGCCTGTATACACTCTTGGAAAACAGATGTTATCCATGAAGGAGAAGGAAAAGTGAAAGATATTTACAGATACAAGCACATATTCTTCACGTGTGCGGCTAAATCTTGTGCTTATGTTGTTTTGTGATCCAGAGACAATTATTAAAGATGTACTGAAGGACCTAGAGAAACACCAAGTGAATGTAGAGAATCTCAGCTCGACAGAACTGGATGAGATCGCTGATACTATCGCCAATGCAATTCAAACCGTTGGCATTCAGAAAGAAACAGAAGAGGATGCTGGAGGAACTAAAGATGACAAGACAGAGGCACAAATTAAGAAAGGAAATTCTCAAGGAAGGGCAGAGGTTCAGACTGGAGTAATGGAAAATAGTGCTAATATATCAGGTATTAATTCTAAGAGTTAAGTATGCAAGAAATAGCTGCCTTAATTTTCCTTTATTGTTCCACATTAGTGCTAGACAGTTAAAAAACAGTTTTAAAGAAGCAGAAGGAAAAGTTTGTTTATTTTTCCACAAAGGCTGCAGAATTTTACCTTTGTTGTTTCCTTTTTACAGCAGGTACTTTATTTACCAAAAGTGTATCTGTTTGTAAACCGATGGTCTTCAGGCTTCACAAACAAGATAAATCTATACACCAAATTATATTGAAATGCAAATTGCTTTATGCTGTGTGATCTAGCTTTTTCTTGAAAAGGAGATATTTAAGCAAAATTATAATAAAAAATAATTATACTATAGAATTTATATCAAAATATGTGGGTAAAAAAAGAATGATTTTCAGATAATCATTCTTTAATGTGCCACAATTACCTGCAGAAGACAGTCTTAGACAGGTACAGGTCAAAAACTACTTGTTCCCTTTCCTGCTTAGGGAAGTAAAAGTTATTACTGTTATTGCTTCTCTCTGGACACACGTTTTTCTGGCGATGCAGATTCAGAAGGTAATTGCCATTAATGACTTGATGCCACAGTGGGATACAAGTTACCACTCACCCATTCTTTATTTTGGGAATGTCTAGGACACTAAAACCTTATGCACTAAGTCATAAACAGAGATTTTAACTTACTGTCTTTTTGCATGGTAATATACTGAAATCCTTACTAGTTAGGGGTATTCTGGTTATTTTAATTGCCTAATTCTTTTTGTAGATTAAAAGTAGCAGACTTGAGGCTTTGCCCTGAATCATACTGGGAGAGATGAATAAGATTCAGTTCATGAACCAAAAAGCCAGCATTATTTGACTGAGGTTAATGATATGACTACACATTATCACTATAGTTAAACTGTAACATCTATTGAAATAAGTAATCTTCTACCACCAAAATATGTATATGTTGTATATATTTCCTTTTTCTTTAATGTAATGTCCATTCAGCTAGCTAAAGCCATTTTGTTTGTTTTTCTTAGATATTGATAAACTGATATGAAGATTTGACACTTAATTAGCAAAATAACACTATTACATTGGCTCTTGAAGTACTCTTTCTATTGATCTTGCATTAATTTACTATCAAAGTGGGGTTAGAATAACAATACTGATTTATACACTGCTCTTTACTATGCCCTTTCAGCTTTGATGTCTTAATGTTTAAATTGCTTGAAAAGAACACCACTACAGAGCAGCCTGTAAGTGTTGTTTGCTTCATATATGATGTTTTCCCTTCATAACTATGCATTTGTTCTTTTCATATCCTACAGACAATGAAGCGCCTGAAGCCAGTGTGAGGACTGATAAAGAGGTAATCAATGTTTTAAGAAAAGTATTCCATCTCAGAATATTGGGTTTATACACAGTGAAGGGCAAAACCACAGTTCTGAAAGATAAGACTTGTTTTATGTCTTGTGTGCATATAATCCAATATTACAGCATAGGCATATTATTATTGATGCATTGAAATATTAAATGAAGATTTATTTAAACCTTAACCAAAATGAGTTTTGAGGATCAAAAAACCAAAATCAAGCCATATTTTGACTTTCCTTCCTTCATAAATAGACAGAATTCATTACAGATCCCAAAGTTCATACAAATTCAGGCTGTTCCTCAGGTTTGTAGATTTTGGGTATTGATGTGTTCTTGAAAACACCCTTCTCTCACCTGTCCTTTGGCTCTTAGTTCTGGGCAAAGTAAACAGATAATCTGTCTAGATTTAGTTTCAGAAGCAGACGAATAAACACATTCCCTATGAGGGCTTTGTGGGAGGGTTCCAATTTTCCTCTCCCTTCATGGGATCTGTCATTCTTCCAAATCGTTGAGTATCAGAGGTATTTGAAAAGCTCTAGGCGTTGCATCTCATACCCAAGGTGGTAGCACCAAATTTGGGATTGTAATCCATATTACTTTTACAATATTCCTCGTGGATAACATCCTATAGATTTATGTCCAATATACAGCCGTTTTTGAGGTATATTCATCATTTATTTTCTGGACTGCATGGAAGAAATATTTTAAAAACTGCTGTGAAACTTCTCCTTCAAAAAACTAGCAGTGCAAAACTCATAAATAAGCAAATCCTCTTGTGTTCACAGTAAAGTCTCTTTAGTAGCTGCCCTTCTACAAAGCAAGGAAAACACACATGTGAACAAGGTGGCAGGAGCTTTAACCACCCACGTGAGATTCTTCAGGGAAAGAAGCACTGCTTTCACAATAGACTTACAGCAGATCCCATGTATAGATTTCTTATTGACAGTTTGAATAGAGGATGTGATAGAAAGGGATATATTGTGACACAGAACACAAAGTGCTCATTAGTTATTACTTCCTCTGAAATGCTTGGCTGCAGTAAACTTGTATAATGTAAGTAGCTAATCAATTGTTCCAGGTGTGTGTTTTGGCTTTAGCTCATTTGCTTATTCTTTTTGATTTATTAGACAAGGGGTTGTTTTCTGTGATCGTAAGTTTTGCTTACTGGATCACTTACAAACTGTTTGTCATAATTTCTAGAGATAAGTGAAATATGATTTGATGTAATATCTGATCTAGTCGAAGGTGCCCCTGCCTATGGCAGGGGAGTTGGAACTAGTTGATCTTTAAGGCCCCTTCCCACCCAAACTGTTCTGTAATTCTATGATCCTGTGATCTGTTCCCTTTCCTGTGTCACGGCTTATGGGTTGCAAGAGGTATGCATGTTTCCAGTCCCAACACTTGGGCATATTGTTGCATGTTTCTACTATTACTCCTTTTCATTATCTCATTTAATTGTCCATTTTTATTTTTATCAATACTTGAACACACAGACGCTTGAAAATGAACACTATGAAAATACTATCAGCATTTTCTTCTAGCTGTTCAAGACAGAAGAAAGTAACTGTTAACTGTAGAATGTAATTGGCGTTATTAACACTATTGAAAAACACGGTGGCATAACTTAATGCTCTTTAATTATTTCTGAATTAACATTATGTTCTTACATAATCTAGCAGTATTAAAAATAAGAGTTTGAAAGATTATATCCAGGTTTGGTTCCATATGACACTCCTGTGTTTAATTTTTAAAATAATAATATTCTTTTAATACAGGAGAACACTGCAAAACTAGTTAAGTTCTTGAATGAGAACGCATTACCTGAAAATATGCCTAAAGACCTTATACCTGAAGAATCTACTAAAACAGAAACCAAGAAATCTGAAGATACTGACTCTTCTTCCTCAGAAGAAGTAAATGCTGGTGTGGAAAATGTAAAAAGTGAGACTTTCTCAAGGGAACTCACAGCTGCAAAGGACGATGAATCTGACTCCAAAGACCCAAGTGAGACCAGCTACTGGATTAAGAACACTGTAATGCAACATGGAAACTCCTACGAAGAGCCTCAGAAAAATACAGGACAAGGCTTACAGCTTGAGGTGAAGTCTTCCGAGAAGAAAGAATACGGCTATATTGTGACAGTGAAAGAGTAAGTATTGCAGCCAATTTGAAAGGCATTTTTAACTGGAGAAGGAATAAAGTCATTGCACCTAATGAATGTATAAGAGGAAAATGCCACAGGCCAGATTTTTAATACATCTGAAAATGTCTGGAACCCGTTCTGTACTTTGATGAAAATACAAGAAAGCAGTTCCACTTTCTTAGAGTTGCCTTTCCTCCAATGCAGAAGATATTTAGTTTGTAGGTCTTTTGCTGAGACCTCTCTCTGTCTTCTCATGTTCCAGTGACCTTCCAATATGTCAGTAACTGTGTTTATGGTTAGGATGTGGGCTTTAAATATTTGACTTGAAAGTAGACTAAATATCAGTGCCTGAGTCATTCTTTCAAAAAATGACACACAATAATAAAGCACAATATTTTCTCTGTGGTTTGATTTTGATCTGAAAATAACACATATAGGAATCCAAACATCACATATGCAGCTAGTTTAGAAAGAAAGACCTAATGATTTCAGGTCATGTCACTAATGAATTTGACATTTAAAGCTATACTTTGAAAAGACAACTTTTTTCCCCTAGTGATATGCAATTACTGGAACATTTGGGAATTTAGGATGATGTGGGCACTTTTGCATCCTTTTACATTCCCCCCCGCTGAGAATGATGTTAGTGATCCTGACTCATCTTCTGTGAGAAACTAGGAATTTCTAGGCTGGGCTTGCAAATCTCTGTCCAGCATTATAGAAAGACTGAGTCAGAAACTTCTGTAGCATCGATTGATTCTTTTGACTGTCTCAAACTTATTATGGGATCGAAGGCAATAGGATTGTGGAGGATTCTTGTTTTTACCATGATATATTACTTTGAAATGTATGTGACTGCATATCAGAAACAGCTGCTTCTTTGCCTTCTCCCAGGGGCTACATTTGAGAAAGATGGGATCACGAAGAAAGGATGCCGTTTGGGGGGAAGAGATTTGATATGGTGCATGGAAGGACAGGCAGAAGAGAGTCAAAGCTGAGGCTTGTCAGCCTGCAAAGAGCATAGACAGAGAGAGACTTCTCAAAAAGTAGGGAAAACACCCACTCCTCAGAGATAATGGAAGGAATTTATTTCATAAGGACTCAGAGGTTACCCTGCAGAAAAAAATAATAATTACTTAGTGACTGGAACGGGAGTTACTGAAATAAAGGACTCACCGTGTGAGGGCATAGTGGGAATGAGAGTTATGTTTACAGATCCCTGCATTACTATCACATTCCATCCTGAGTTTTATTTTTACCATTTTAATGCTAAATTTTATTCACTTTCTAAAGAAAACCAGCTCTGGAGTTTGGAAAAGACATTTAGAGAGTTTTAGAGTGCTTACTTTAAGGAAGGTCCCAAACAATTTTAGGTCCTCAGACTTCTGTTAACTTCTCTGTGTGTCAGTAACCACAGTTAATCATTATTCAGTGATCAACTGCTTTGGATTTAATTAATCAGTTTTAAAGTGCTTTTACAATTGAACTTTTCAGTTGTTTTCTTGTAACATTCATTTTCATTGGCTTGTTCCTGTAGCAGTCTTACCATTCTCAAGGTGAGACTACTACAGGAAAAAGCCAGTTATTAGAGTATTCTTACAATTTTTTGTCTAGGTGGTATGTTAGTCCTTCAGGTAGGTTACATTTTGATTTAGTTTTGGCCAAGAGAACACTCCGGAGTCTCCTGTGTTTTTGAAATCAGTCTACCAGATATTGGTAGAATGTCCTGATTTAACCTCTTGGTTCCTGCCTATGAATGCTACAGGAAGCAGTAGAAGCTATTTTTAACCCAGCTCAGAACAACTTCCTCCAGGTCTTTTATCTCACATCAGTCTGGAAAGCACCTTTATATCCAACAGTATCTTAATGGCACCATCTCTTCTCTAAAAGCTTAGAGCTTTCACAGCTCTATGTAATGAAAAATGTTCTGACTTTTCAGTCTTCATAGCATGTAGATTCTTCACTGTGTCATCTGGTTTTCTTCTTAGCTAGTCCCCTACTGAATGAGTTTTCTGCAAATATCTATCATTATTCAATGAAACTTGGTGAAGACAGTCATTTGTCCAAAGGTTCTTGGTCCTATATACACAATCGGTCAATGTACACAATTGGTCAATATACACAAAAATAATTTAAAATAATTTGTTCAGCTTCTTTACCATTTTCAATACCAGAAAGAGAGAAAGTACTGTTCTTATATACTAGATTATTACAATTTTAATAACTTTGAGCAGGATGATTTTAGATAAACATTGTGCTGTTGATGAAAATGATCAGAAACAAGGAGAAAAAATTTACAGTAAGCTAAATGAAACTACTTTGAATGACTTGAATTTAAAAATTTAAGTTCATCAAAACAATTTTACTTTTTAATAGTAACCAGCTCATTACACAAAGCATATAGTGTCTATATTCAGAAAACTTAACTGATAAGTCCTCACTACATTCTTAGCACTTTGAGTACAAGTAGATATTATCTTCTCCAAAGTCAAGATAGAGAAAAAGAGAATAAGCTTTCATGCTTTTTTTTCAGTTTCTAATCTAGAATGAATTAATCATTTAAAAGAATTAGCTAATTGAGATGAATTGAGGAAATACTCTATTTATACTAGGATTATGATGCATTTAGTCTGCAGCAAACAAGTTTTGGTTCAGAGTTGTTAGCTAGTGACTTAAACATTGTCAGTGATTTGTCTTTCCTCAGCATTTTTACTCAAAAATATACTTTTTGTTGTTGTTAATCTTGTTTGTTTTGAATAGATCTATCTGGAATGTAAAAGGAAAACCCCCTATTTTTGAAAAACAAGATTTGTATATTCTGGACTTCTATTAAGAATAACACAACTTGTTCAGGAAATTCCACATGCTGAAAATGGACTTGTCCACACTACAGGCACAGTGAAATACTTTCAGCAGTTAAGGGGTCTGTTACGTACTAGTATTTCCCACAACTATCTCTTTAGTACATAAAGTGGCCTTACAGACCAACTGGGTCAGTGCAGCTGGGAGTTTCTGTAAGGACTTGTTTTCATGAATGTTACTGTAACTGTATTTTTTCTTGGGGAAGAGAGTATAGAGTAAGGGGTGTAAATTACCACTACACAGAAGAGAAATTTTAATGTTCTTTTAAGGGCCATGTCTTTAGTAAGCTTCCTATATGATTAAGTTTTTGAACTAAAAATCTTACTGGCTGTTTGCAGTAAATGAAGAGTATTAATAAATGGCTTAGGTGTATGCTGCACATTTATGTGTGTTATATTCATACAGTGAAGTAAAGGGGCTGGAACTATTCCTAGTCCGATCTTTAATCTATGTCAGTCTGAAATCACTCCTGTTTGAGAGAAAATTGTAATCTCAGGAAATTGATTCACAAATAATCTTTGATGCTTTGTGGTTGGACTCTATGATCTTGATGATCTTTTCCAAACAGTGATTCTATGATTTTGTGTTTTCTGTCTTTACGCTTTTTTAAAGTTCTCTGTTTTAAATAGAGAGGAAGCTGGAACTAAAGCTAGGCAAGAAATAAATCTTTTGGAGAGCCCAGGCATTAGACAAATTCATATGTGAAGTGTCTCTGTTGCAGCTATAAACCTAAAATTATGATTTAGGTGTGGGGTTTTTTTAATCCTCTATTAACTTGTGCACGCAAAATGAAATGCCAAAATGTAACATGAGAGGTACTTATTTGTCTTCCAATACCACATCTTTGCATGGTTTTCTTCTTCCTTCATAAACCAATAAGTCATAATTTCAATCCATCCATTTTTATTTGCCATGAATTTTTGGAGCAGCGAAGCTTCATTTTTACAGCTGAAACAGTTGCCTTTTGGTGAGAAAGGGAAGTAGTCCAACATATTTGTACACTGGGGATAATAGCCTGTGTTCTTTTCACCTTCTGATCTGAAAATGGAACTGAAAAGATTATACTCGGTGGTATAGTTGACAGATGTCAGAGGTGATCCATTCACTATTAGATTCTCAGGCTTCCATGGCTTTGCAGGTGTGATCCAAGGAGATATTAAGACTGCTTCAGTGAACTCCTAAGATGCCAGCTTTTAATTGTGCCACAAAGCAGAGATAAACATTTCCGTGTAATACTTGAAGAAAAGATTTGTGATAGTTTAAAGACTTGTCAAAACCGGAGTCTGATTGTCAATGGCAAGAACAATAGGTCACTCCTGCTGTGTTTGTCGAGTGACCTTTCAGAGGGTTGGAGAAGTGCAATCCATACCAATCCATAATATCCATCAGCGCTAAGCTTCGGAATGAATTGACAGTTTCAGTGTAGAAAATTGTCCAGCAAATCCTCCACTGTGCAGCTTCAGCACTTCATTATGCTGAGAAACCAATCAAATTGAGTGATTTACTTTGTTTACTCTTTCTTCCTTCAAAAAATTGGTATTCTACCACTGTAGGATTTGTGTGAAAGAGGTTTTTTCTCTTTCACAGTGTAACTGCTTTGAACTGTTTCTACTAATTTTAACTCTGAAATTCTAAAGTAATCCTATAAAACAAAGGATTAAAAAGGATTATAAATCTACAGGATGTTATTTTCATTTGTATGCTACTTTGGCCATAGTTATAAAATACCTCTATTATAATGGGGATACATCAGTGTGAGCTCTCAAATTGGAGAAGCCTTTGCCTTTGGATGTAAGAACTCTTCCTATTTTCTGAGATTCTAGTTCTTCATGTATGGAAAACTTCTTTTTGAGTTGGAAAGAATGTCAACATTCTCATTTGCCTGGCAAGATTTGCTCTAAACTGAGGGCCAAGATCCCACAATCAAAACATTTAAACAATGTTTAGCCTCCTGAGTCTCTCATGAGGAAATCCAAAGTCTGACGTTCCAGAACATGTAGTTCTTACCACCTCCAGTAGAACTAAATGCAAGCTGCTGCGTGCTCAGCAGTTTAAATAGTCAAGCTGGTGTGTGATTTTTTAAATACGAGATTGAGTAGTTAAGCTTAAATGCACTAAGAGAATTCCTAATTTGAGAGTAGAAA